TGAGTTAATTCTTTTCTCCGTGAGTTATTTCTTTTCTCCGTGAGTTAATTCTTTTCTCCGTGAGTTATTTCTTTTCACCGTGAGTTAATTCTTTTCTCCGTGAGTTATTTCTTTTCTCCGTGAGTTATTTCTTTTCTCCGTGATAGTGCACTTTTATACAACAGAAAATGGGCTCCCTAGGTGTTAATGACGTTAATCTGCGGTCTTTCCAAATACCATATTGCAGGCACAGCAATAACAAAGATGTCGAGTTTTATCGAAGGAAAAGGAGGTAAAAAGACTATTGAATTCATGCAAAAACTGAATGACAACAACATCCCGCCAACTCATATAATGCAGTTATCTGGTCACAGAAACGTTCAACAGAACAAACGAACAACAGAAAAACATGTCTTTGATTCTGAGTAGAAATACTACAAGTACATAGAAAAAAGGCAAGTGTCGAGTTTTCAAAGTGAATCTTCATTCATGAAAAGTTCTAGTTTCCCTGCAGCAGGCCCATTCAATGAAGCACTTTTTCACGGAGGAAAGTTTAATATAACAATAAACACTTTAAACAAGTCGCCGACTTCCACCGATATTAACTCATTCAAGTCAACAGAGTCAACATGTAGCTTCAAACGCATCAAGCGTGTGTTTGAATCGTCAGACGAAGATAGCCCTCCGCTTTAWTAAGCTAAGTTAGACTTCATTGAGCTACCGATTTTCGTTGCTTAATTCGTTATTACAGTATCTATTTAAATAGTGATATTTTTACATGTAGCTTTTAAAGTGTCTATGAACCCTAACTCAATATTTTCAGCATTGATTCTACATGAAGTAAATAGTCGAATGGTGAAATATTTTTATATGATTTGAGTGATGCATCTTGGAGATATCAAGGTTTATACTTCCAGTATGCTAATGATGTCATGTCATAGATTACTATGAGAAAACAAATTTGCAATAACCTTTCTATAAACCCTGAGTAAGATAATTATGTTTTATACAGGATATTTTACTACCCAAGTAAATTTTCGCATATTTAATAATGACTACTAAGAAATCACACGCAAGATGCATCACTCAAATCATATAAAAAATTTTCAGCATTCGACTTTTCGCTTCATGCAGAATCAATGCTGATAATAGTGAGTTAGGGGTCATAGGCACTTTAAGCTTTTCGAAGGTAATTTTATAATACAGGAGTTTTGTATTTTTTAGAGAACCCCGCCATTAAAGGTAAATAGATAAAAACAACCAAAACTCAGTATGTATATTAAATATATTTAGGCACTGCCTAAAAGCGGAACTCCCGATACCCAAGTCACTGGGAGCCCAATTTGAATGAATGTGGAAGATAAAATTAAATTCGGAAAAAAATCTTCAATTTTTTTATTCAATATTAAGATGTCTCGCATAAGAAAAAACATGCACTGAAAACGATTCAAAATGCACTACATCGTTTTCTTTGCGCGAGAATACTCACCCACTTATATGAATTTTGTACACAACTCACCACCAATCCCCCCAGGGGCTAG